TGGCTCTGCAGTGTATGGTAGGGTAGGGTTGGGGTAGGGTGTGCGAGAACGGCTGCTACAGCTGTATCCCTGAGCCTGTGCCAGTGCCCGATGTGCACATTCCATCCTGGAGGGCTGCATGACATTTGTCACGTTATTGTGTTAGTACTGAAAGCCACCTTCCCCCTCCCCACCTCCACTCCCCTATAATCAGATCCTGCCATTAAGTCCCTGCCAATCGCACAGACTGCCTGTTACAGCCTCAATCGACACACAATCAAATAAACAGTGTCAAATTAGGAAGGAGGAAGTTCTGTTATGTTTAGTTAAGCTGAAAAATGAATCAGAAAAAGTCACTGGAAGAGGTGTATTGTAAAGTCAGCCCTTGTGTGACACGCAACAGTAGTTATTTTTCCAATCTATTATCAAATGATTCTTCATTATGTGAATGTTTAACCCCCCTGTATGCTCTTGCTGATTGGCTGTTGCTGTCCGTTTCCAGGTTTGTGATTGGTCGAGAGCGTCCGGGCCAGGTGAGCGAGGTGGCTGCTCTGATCCAACAGACTCTGGAGCAGGAGAGGAGACAGAGAGAGATGCTGGAGCAGCAGTACGCCCAGTATGACGCTGATGACGATGAGGTGGGTAGCCTACTGCCCCGCTGTTTCACCCTCCTACTGATACACCTGTTAGTGTGGCCAATCAAATCCTGTACAGTTTTATTAACCTATTCATAGGAGATAGCCATTGTTGTAGAAGGATCCTAACTTACTGACCCACTAGTACACTCTTCTACTGATCAGGGCCTGTAAGCATCTCAGAGTAGGATTGCTGATTTAGGATCAGTTGTGCCTTTTAGATTTTAATGAATATGTTTGGAAGTGGGGGGTCCTGATCCTAGATCAGCACTCCTATTCTGAGAAGTTTGATACGGCCCCAGATCTGTTTCACCCTCCTAACGACAAACCTGTGTGGTCACACTGCACTCAGACCTGTGTGGTCACACTGCACTCCGACCTGTATGGTCACACTGCACTCAGACCTGTATGGTCACACTGCACTCAGACCTGTGTGGTCACACTGCACTCAGATCTGTGTGGTCACACTGCACTCAGACCTGTATGGTCACACTGCACTCAGACCTGTATGGTCACACTGCACTCAGACCTGTGTGGTCACACTGCACTCAGATCTGTGTGGTCACACTGCACTCAGACCTGTGTGGTCACACTGCACTCAGATCTGTGTGGTCACACTGCACTCAGACCTGTGTGGTCACACTGCATTCAGACCTGTGTGGTCACACTGCACTCAGACCTGTGTGGTCACACTGCACTCAGATCTGTGTGGTCACACTGCACTCAGACCTGTGTGGTCACACTGCACTCAGATCTGTGTGGTCACACTGCACTCAGATCTGTGTGGTCACACTGCACTCAGACCTGTGTGGTCACACTGCACTCCAATCCTCTTCTCCAACATCGCAATGGCTGCTGCAGGTCAATCTTGGTCAGGAGTTGTGGTAATGTAAAATCAGGCGTAGCTAAACATAGCTTAAGAATAATGTGGCTGTTCACATTATAACAAGCCTCTAGGTGTGTTTTAAAATGTTTGAGCGTCTGTGGTTTTAAAAAACACTCTCAATGGCAATACTCTCTCTCTCAGCCAACATGTTTTCCTGCCTGTGTTTGTTCTAGTACACACTAAAGCCCATTACCATTCACTCATCATTAGTGGGTCAGGAGGCTGGAGGACGATAAAGCCACCCGTCTCTCTCTCTTTCTCCCCCCTCTCCCTCTGCCTCAGTCATTTCTCATACTCTATCCCTCTCTTTCCCCGCTCCTCCCTCTTCCTCGGTCCTTTCTCAGATCTCTCTCTCTCTCTCCCCCCTCCTCCTTCTCTCCCTCTGTCTTTCTCCAGATCTCTCTCTCTCTCTTACTCTCTCTCTTCCTCCCTCTCTATCTCTATCCCTCCCTCCCTCCATCCCTCTATCTATCTGTCTGTCTGTCTGTCTGCCTCCTCCATTCATTCAGGCCTGATTTGTTTCCATGCATCAGACAAGGGGCATTTCCTTAATGGGTTGCACGTTGCCATGGCACTGAGGCTGAGGGTCTATATTAAATCCCCATTTAGAGAGGGGAGACGTCCGGTTAATTACCATGTATCTGGTCAGAGTGATACACATCCTATAGGCTCTAGTCTGGTGCGGGCGGGAATGTCTGTGTCTATGTGTAATGATTTCAAAGACAAATGTTTATTTCGGCCACATTTCCTTCACAGTTTGTCTTTCATTGGTGGATTGATTGTTGTGACTCAGAGGGTTGTATGGCATGTCTGTTTGTGTCCTGGGAACAAACCAAAAGCTCCACAGCTGTCTGATATTACCAGTCCCATGCTGCGTTTAGGGTGAATAATGTGCCATGTGGTGGGAGCTTAATCTAATATTTATAGATATATTAATATTGATGCTCTCATTTTATTGCAGAGCATAGATCATCCTAAATAATTCATAATTGTTTACCATGTCGGTTATGCTTGAAGGAATGGATGTTTTGCTAGTTTCAATTCAGTGTGGATTCCCCAGTACCGTTTTGACTGCCTGGTGTAGGTATGGATTCTGTAGGAATGTGTAACGTATTAGTAAAGGATTAGTAATGGTAACTCAATCATCACCATTACACTGTGTGCTGTCAGGCTGTAAGGCTTAATGTGTGTCCTAAGTGGCGCCCTAGTCCCTATATAGTGCACTACTTTTGACCAGGGCCTGAATAGGGAATAGGGTGAATAGGGAATAGGCTGAATGGGGAATAGGGTGAGTAGGGAATAGGGAATAGAGTTTATAGGGTGAATGGGGAATAGGGTGAGTAGGGAATAGGGAATAGAGTTTATATGGTGAATAGGGAATAGGCTGAATAGGGAATAGGGTGAGTAGATAGGGAGAATAGATAGGGAGAATAGATAGGGAGAATAGATCGGGAGAATAGATAGGGAGAATAGATAGGGAGAATAGATCGGGAGAATAGATCGGGAGAATAGATCGGGAGAATAGATAGGGAGAATAGATAGGGAGAATAGATAGGGAGAATAGATCGGGAAGATATATAGGGAGAATATATAGGGAGAATAGATAGGGAGAATAGATAGTGGGAATAGATATGTGTAGTTGTTAAAAGCAGCAGGGCTGAAAGCTTCCTGCTGTACCAGAGGTTTCAGATCATATGTCAGCGTAAGCTGTAGCTGTGTGTGTGTGTGTGCGCGCATCATCATGTTTGTGAGAGAATCAGAGAGAGAGAGAGGGGGGGGGAGAGAGAAAGGAGAGAGAGAGAGAGAGAGGAGAGAGAGAGAGGGGGGGAGAGAGAGAGGGAGAGAGAGAGAGGGGGGGGAGAGAGAAAGAGGGAGAGAGAGGGGAGAGAGAGGAGAGAGAGAGGGATGAGAGAGAGAGAGAGAGAGAGAGAGGAGAGAGGGATGGGGGGGGGGGGGGGGGGGCGGGGGGGGGGGGGGGGGGGTTGCTCGCCCTTCAACAACTCCAGCACCAGTGTCTCTGGCAGTAGGACCAGAGAGAGGGGCCCGGCCGGCCCCAAGCCGGGATGGGTCATTCGATCCTGGGTAGAGGCCTCCCAGGGCTTGAGTCTGGCTAGCTGTCCCTATCTGGCTCTCTGCAACCAGATCTAAGCTGCAGCAGAGCAGAATGCCTCTTTATAAGCCTGCCTCAATAAGCCTGGCTGTGTCCCAAATGGCACCCTATTCTATTCTCTACATAGTGCACTACTTTTGACCAGAGCCTTATGCAAATATTGTGTCATTTGGGATGCATCCTGTCTGGATCAGTTTAGGAAGAGGCTGCCCTGCTGTGGAGAGAGAGCTATAGCAGGAAGAGAAACACGTACAGTATCATCAACCCTGCTGTCTCTATTCTACAGACCACACATACTGCACAGGCTGATGAAGGTGATGATGATGATGATGATGATGGTGGTGGTGATGATGATGATGGTAGTGGTGATGAGAATGCTGGTGGTGGTGATAAGGATGATGATGGTAGTGGTGATGGTGATGGTAGTGGTGGTGATGATGATGGTGGTTGTGGTGATGGTGGTGGTGGTGGTGATGATGATGATGGTGGTGATGGGGGTGATGATGATAGTGGTGATGGTGGTGATGATGATAGTGGTGGTGATGATGATGATGATGATGATAGTGGTGGTGATGATGATGATAGTGGTGATGATAGTGGTGATGATAGTGGTGGTGATGATGATGATAGTGGTGGTGGTGATGATGATAGTGGTGGTGATGATGATGATAGTGGTGGTGATGATGATGATAGTGATGATGGTGGTGATGATGATAGTGGTGATGGTGGTGATGATGATAGTGGTGGTGATGATGATGATAGTGGTGATGGTGGTGATGATGATAGTGGTGGTGATGATGATGATGATGATAGTGGTGGTGATGATGATGATAGTGGTGATGATAGTGGTGATGATAGTGGTGGTGATGATGATGATAGTGGTGGTGGTGATGATGATAGTGGTGGTGATGATGATGATAGTGGTGGTGATGATGATGATAGTGGTGATGGTGGTGATGATGATAGTGGTGATGGTGGTGATGATGATAGTGGTGGTGATGATGATGATAGTGGTGGTGATGATGATGATAGTGGTGATGGTGGTGATGATGATAGTGGTGGTGGTGATGATGATAGTGGTGGTGATGATGATGATAGTGGTGGTGATGATGATGATAGTGGTGGTGATGATGATGATGTGGTCCTCTGTAGCTCAGCTGGTAGAGCACGGCGCTTGTAACGCCAAGGTAGTGGGTTCGATCCCCGGGGCCACCCATACACAAAAATAAAATAAATAATTAATGTATGCACGCACGACTGTAAGTCGCTTTGGATAAAAGCGTCTGCTAAATGGCATATTATTATTATTATTATTATTATGATAGTGGTGATGGTGGTGATGATGATAGTGGTGATGGTGGTGATGATGATAGTGGTGATGGTGGTGATGATGATAGTGGTGGTGGTGGTGGTGGTGATGATGATAGTGGTGATGGTGGTGATGATTATAGTGGTGGTGGTGGTGGTGGTGATGATTATAGTGGTGGTGGTGATGATGATAGTGGTGGTGATGATGATAGGGTGATAGTGGTGATGATGATAGTGGTGGTGATGATGATGATAGTGGTGGTGATGATGATGATAGTGGTGGTGATGATGATGATAGTGGTGGTGATGATGATGATAGTGGTGATGGTGGTGATGATGATAGTGGTGGTGGTGGTGATGATGATAGTGGTGGTGGTGATGATGATAGTGGTGATGGATTTCTCTCCTAAACATCTGAAAGGATTTTACATACTGTGGGGCATCACAGGATGACAATGACCTAACCCTAACCCTTACCAGCTCCTCAACCCCCCACCCTCAATCATCCCCCTTCCTCACCTCACCCCCCAGCTCACTTTGACAGGGCCCCTGTTATTCTATACCCAGACATAACAACTGGTCTCTTTCTCTCTCTGTCTCTCTGTCTCTCTCTCTCTCTCTCTCTCTCTTCTCAATTCAATTCAATTCAATTCAATTCAATAGACTTTATTGACATGGCAAGTAAAATTACTTACATTGTCAAAGTATACATATAACAAAAATGGTGGGACCAACAGCAATAATAATAGTAGTAGTGGAAATGGGATTACCATTAGCAGCAACTACAACAACAATATTAATGAGAATAACAATACATTAAAGCAATAGTAGTCGACCAATCTCAACATGACTGAGAAGACACATTACATGCTATGAAAGCCAAAACAAAACAGGAAATATTATTGACATTACATTACACTTTTCACTGGCTGTCCCTCAGGTTGTGGCAGGAGGACACATATTTGGCTGCCAAAATTGCACATTTTGGCTTTTTCTTCCTCATTTATAGTTTCAAATTCTTTGTACTGAATGATAATTTTGGGAAAGAAAGATTCTCTTAGGTCTGAGTATTTGTCACAGTGTAATAGGAAATGCAGCTCTGTCTCTACCTCTCCCCGGGGGCAGAGTGAGCACAGCCTGTCCTCTCTGGGCAGCCAGGTTTGCCTGTGACGGCCGGTCTCTATAGCCAGACTGTGCTCACTGAGTCTGTACCTAGTCAGTGTTTTTCTCAGTTTTCTATCAGTCACAGTGGTCAGATAGTCTGCCACCATGTACTGTCTGTTTAGAGCCAAATAGCATTGAAGTTTACTTTGATTTTTTGTGGTGTCTTTCCAATAGGTGATATATTTTTATTTTTGCTTTGTGATGATTTGGTTGGGCCAGATTTTCTGAGTGCTGTCCTGAGGCTCTATGAGGTTGGTTTTGGTTAGTGAACTGAGCCTCAGAACTAGCTGGCTGAGGGGACTCTTCTCTTGTTTCATCTCTTGACATAGTAGAGCTGTGTGATGGAATGTTTTGGGGTCACTTGTTTTTAGATGGTTGTAAAATTTGATGGCTCTTTTTTCTATTCGAATAAGGAGGAGGTATTGGCCCAATTCTGCTCTACATGCGTTATTTTGAGTTTTTCTTTGCACTTGCAATACAGTCTTGCAAAACTCTGCATGCAGTATTTCGATTGGATGTTTGTCCCATTTGGTAAATTCAGTATTAGAGAGCGGACCCCATACTTCGCTGCCATATAGAGCAATTGGTTCTATAACTGATTGGAAAATTTTGAGCCAGATTCTAATTGGAATTTCGATTTTAATATTCCTTTTAATGGCATAGAATGCTCTTCTTGCTTTGTCTTTCAGCTCATTCACAGCCATTTGAAAGCTACCTGTGTTGCTGATATTTAGTCCTAGATATGTGTAATTTTTGGTGTGTTCTAATAGAACTGTGTCCAAATAGAATTTATATTTGTCATCCTGATTTCCTGACCTTTTTTGGAATATCGTTATATTCGGTTTTTTTAGATTAACGGTCAGGGCCCACGTCTGACATAATCTGTGCAGATGATCTAGATGCTGCTGTAACCCCTCCTTAGTGGGAGACAGTAGCACCAGGTCATCTGCGTACAGCAGACACTTGATTTCAGTGTTGTCTCTCTCTCTCTCTCTCTCTCTCTCTCTCTCTCTCTCTCTCTCTCTCTCTCTTCTCTCTCTCTCTCTCTCTCTCTCTCTCTCTCTCTCTTCACTGTCACTGTCTCTTTCTCTCTGTCTCTCTCTCTTTCTCTCTATCTCTTTCTCTGTCTCTCTCTCTGTCTGTCTCTCTCTCTCTATCTCTTTCTCTGTCTCTCTCTCTCTCTGTCTGTCTGTCTGTCTGTCTCTCTCTCTCTCTCTCTCTCTCTCTCTCTCTCTCTCTCTCTCTCTCTCTCTCTCTCTCACTGTCACTCTGTCTCTTTCTCTCTGTCTCTCTCTCTCTCTCTCTTTCCTTTCCTCAGAATAACACAGCCACCGCTCTGATTAGTTATGGAAAAACATCTGTTATGAACTAAACCATCCTCTCAGTGCTGTTGAGTTTTGGAGGCATTATTGTGAAGCACAGAGCCTCTGCCTTCCCCTTACAACCTTGGCTGAGAGAAAGCTTAAGCGGTTGTATTTGTTGTCCTCACCGTAGAAATGATTAACTGTTTTCATTATCAACATTGGAGTCGCCTGGCTACACAGCCACAGAGCACCGGCCAAACGCCACGCCCACTAACATTTTTTCTCCAACATGAGTCTGGATTTGATCTACTCCCAATCGTTCTGATTGGTCCCAGAAACCAGAGCTGGCCTACACAAATCTTTGGTTCATGTAATTTTGACATTAGCACAAATGACTTCTAGGATGTTAGGTTCAGACTGATGTGTGGTGCGACCGACAGAGCAGCGGAATGAAATACAGGATTAGTCGTCTGGCAGACATTGAAGTAGCAACGTTTCTTAAAATAGGAAGGGATGACTCAATGAAAGAAGATGGAAACATTCAATGATTACGAGCTTGTGTTTTTCTCTGTGAAATGTACATGTATGACAAGTTATGTAGATGGAAATGTATTCTCATGTTATGTGTGTGTGTGCGCACGTGCGTGCATGCATGTGTGTCCTCAGACAGGGGAGTACGCCACTGATGATGAGGAGGAGGAGGCAGGGCCAGCTGCGGACAGGGGCGGGGACGGGGAGGGCGATGGCGAGAAGAGCATTGAGGTGTTCGATTTGCCAGAAACGGATGACATCATTTCCCCCTCAGAGTTGGATGCCACCAAACTCTACCAGAAGTTCAGAGAGGTCACTTCACATCCTCTTTCCTTATTTCCTTTAACCACTCTAAAAAAAGACAGAAGTTCCAATAAACACGTCTTACTATAAATGTATTTTCCTCGCATTAATGTCACTAATACTGTTGCCCAGCACTTTGAACTCTTTCTTGGTCCTGATTGCAGCAAAGTCAAAGATTAAGAAATGACTGAAATAAAGTATTAGGCCGTTACTTTCTTCTAGAACCCTTTTTCCTTTTTAAAGTACCCAGTATTTAGCTGTTATGTTAATAATAATAAGCCATTTAGCAGATGCTTTTATCCAAAGCGACTTACAGTCATGCGTGCATACATTTTTTGTGTATGGGTGGTCCCAGGGATCGAACCCACTACCTTGGCGTTATAAGCGCCGTGCTCTACCAGCTGAGCTACAGAGGACCCTTTTTCCTTTTTATAGTAGCCAATATTTGGCCGTTACTTTCTTCTAGAACCCTTTTTCCTTTTTAAAGTAGCCAACCTGCAAGTAATATTGATTAAAAAGCCTTACTACCACTGCTGGCCCCAGAACATTTTGTCCCTCACTCCACACTTGTGTGACACACTTAACAAATTGCTCAAGCTGCACTGCGGTGTTCTGGATATTGAGTGATAAATCATGTAATCTCTACTGTCCCAAGACCTCTAAACTCTCTCTCTCCCCTTCCTCTCTCTTTCTCTCTCTCTTTACTTCTCTCTTTCTACTGTATGTCCTTCCTCTCTCTTTCTCTTTCTGTCATTCAATCTCCACTTTTCTCTCTGCCTATTAACTCCCACGCTACTTTCTGGCTTTCTCTCTCTCCCTCTCACTTTCAGTGGTAGAGAGTGATATGGCTCTTCCTAGTGCTGTGTGTGTGTGTGTGTGTCTGTATGTGTCTGTGTGTGTCTGTGTGTCTGTGTCTGTGTCTGTGTCTGTGTCTGTGTCTGTCTGTGTCTGTGTGTGTCTGTGTGTCTGTGTGTCTGTGTCTGTGTGTGTCTGTGTGTGTCTGTGTCTGCATGGGGCTTGTCCAGCACAGAGGCTGCTCAGCCAAGCGTTTGATCATCTTCTCCACCTCCTCCCTTTCTGCTCCCTCAGCTGCAGATCAAGCACACTGTCACCGAAGCAGAGATACAGAAGCTCAAAAACAAGGTAAGAAAGATCCCCTGCTGTCATCTCTAAGAATGGTATCAAATAAATATACAAAGTACAATAAAAGCATGAGGAATAGACATATGTTTGGAAAAAGGACGTCATTGGACAGTGCAGTGCATAATAGTTTCTATTTCAAGTTATTTCTGAATATTTAAGGCAATTACATGTATATTTCAGAAGTTTAGCTCCGCTGCACGGCTGAGTTGCCTCTCTTGCAGTTTCGTGTCGCAGGTGTCCAGGTGGTGAGTGAGCCAGTGGTTAAGTGAGAGTGACATGCAAGCAGGCAGAGACACAAGAGCTTTTTAAAAGTGTCAGGTTTATCCCCTGCATCCTTATGAGGACAGCTTAGATCAAACTGCAGGAAATTATCTAAAAGCTTAGTAGATATTAACTGAATTCAATGACTGGATTTAGTGAAATTGAAAGATAAGCTTGTCGGTGTAATACTCTGAGCATGAGCTGCTCTGGTGGTCCTTGGGAGAGTGTTGCTTCAGAAGTTTGCCCTGAGGAGTAGAAGGATGTAATACAATAACAACGTTTGGAAGGAGGTTGCTATGCAAGAGTTTCTCTTTGTTGTGAAGGCTGGTTAGTGACCCGTAAGTTAAGAAGGTGTTCATCTCATAGCATAGTCTCATACCATAGTGTGTGTAGTCAGCCAGTCGGTCAGCCAGTCGGTCAGTCAGCCGGTCGGTCAGTCAGTCGGTCAGTCAGCCAGTCGGTCAGCCAGTCGGTCAGCCAGTCCAGTCGGTCAGCCAGTCGGTCAGTCAGCCAGTCAGTCAGCCAGTCGGTCAGTCAGTCGGTCAGTCAGCCAGTCGGTCAGCCAGTCGGTCAGCCAGTCAGTCAGTCAGTCAGTCGGCTTAGACATGGGAGTATTTGGGAATCTGTCGATACTGTGTTTGTGTTCCACTGTTTGTCTTTCATTACATATCTAATGGTGGGCGTACACTATTATACAATTCTGCCTAACCATGTTTGTGTGCATGGTGTACGTGTGTGTGTGTGTTTGTGTGTGTGTGTGTTGTGTGTGTGTGTGTTTGTGCAAGCGTGCACACAAATGCTTCTGTGTATTTAATGTATACTAACTAAGTGTGTGATAGTGTGTGATAGTGTGTGTGTGTGCGTGCATGCGTGTGTGTGCGTGTGTGTGTGTGCTGCCATGCTAATGTGTTTATTTGTGTTCAGTATCTGAGTGTCTGTGTGCTTGTCTACCCCAGCTTGCAGCGGTGGACAGGGAGAAGGCACGCTGGGAGAAGGAGAAGAGCCAGCTGAAGGCCAGCATGGAGGAGAACAAGGAGAGGATGCTGAAGCTGGAGAGTTACTGGATCGAGGCCCAGACCCTGTGCCACACGGTCAACGAGCACCTGAAGACGTGCTTGGTCTAGCAGAACTGCCACACACCAGATGTTGCTACTGGTTAATCAGTAGTGCACACTCCAGACCTGTGCCTGGCTAATCGTAACGAGCACCTCCAGGATGTGCTCGTGTCAATCATAACACCACCACTCAGATGTGCGGTATAGAGAACTAGCCAACTCAATGTGCCGGTAGCAGAACTAGCACCATCAGATCTGTGCTCTGGTCAGTCAGTAATGCAACAGTCCAGATCTGTGCTTGGCTAGTCATAACTAGTCCACACACTCCAGATCTGTTGCTCTGGTCTAGTCAGTAACTAGCCACACACTCCAGATCTGTTGCTCTGGTCTAGTCAGTAACTAGCCCACACTCCAGATCTGTTGCTCTGGTCTAGTCAGTAACTAGCCACACACTCCAGATTGTTGCTCTGGTCATAGTCAGTAACTAGCCCACACTCCAGATCTGTTGCTCTGGTCTAGTCAGTAAACTAGCCACACACTCCAGATGTGTTGCTCTGGTCTAGTCAGTAACTAGCCACACACTCCAGATCTGTTGCTCTGGTCTAGTCAGTAACTAGCCACACACTCCAGATCTGTTGCTCTGGTCTAGTCAGTAACTAGCCACACACTCCAGATCTGTTGCTCTGGTCTAGTCAGTAACTAGCCACACACTCCAGATCTGTTGCTCTGGTCTAGTCAGTAACTAGTCGCACCAACTCCAGATCTGTTGCTCTGGTCTAGTCAGTAAACTAGCCGCACACTCCAGATCTGTTGCTCTGGTCTAGTCAGTAACTAGCCACACACTCCAGATCTGTTGCTCTGGTCTAGTCAGTAACTAGCCACACACTCCAGATCTGTTGCTCTGGTCTAGTCAGTAACTAGCCACACACTCCAGATCTGTTGCTCTGGTCTAGTCAGTAACTAGCCGCACACTCCAGATCTGTTGCTCTGGTCTAGTCAGTAACTAGCCGCACACTCCAGATCTGTTGCTCTGGTCTAGTCAGTAACTAGCCACACACTCCAGATCTGTTGCTCTGGTCTAGTCAGTAACTAGCCACACACCCCAGATGTGTTGCTCTGGTCTAGTCAGTAACTAGCCACACACTCCAGATCTGTTGCTCTGGTCTAGTCAGTAACTAGCCACACACTCCAGATCTGTTGCTCTGGTCTAGTCAGTAACTAGCCACACACTCCAGATGTGTTGCTCTGGTCTAGTCAGTAACTAGCCACACACTCCAGATCTGTTGCTCTGGTCTAGTCAGTAACTAGCCGCACACTCCAGATGTGTCTGTGTTATCTGTTGCCATTAGAGTAAAATGGGTTGTTTATGACTGAAAACCTGAACAATTACAACATTATTCAGTCCACTTTGGTTTATATGGACAAAATCGTATCGTAGCTACTGTATGTTATTTAAGATTCAAATCCAAATTTAGAGGCCATTTCAAATTGCAGCTTATTTTAGGTAATACACAGCTGTTATTCAAACCCTGTTATTTTCCTACAGTATATGTATCAAACTTTTCCACCCATTAATCTGGAGGACATTTTAACCAAGTGGCACTTAGTTGAATCATCTCTTTAGAGAGCGAGAGAGCTGTGTTGACTTCCTATGCAGCTCTCGTCCACACCGCAGCCTCTCTCTCAGAACAGTGAGTTGATCTATATGGTCGTTCCCATCAGAAGCGCTTTGCCACTCTCCGCTCTGACTTCCTTTAATTGCCTTTGTCCTTGAAACAAACTCTCCCTCCATTTTAACAGCAGCAATGTTGAACAGGCCAGAACAAGACAGGCAGATAATTTCACCAAGTGGATGTAGTGAGCACAAGGAATTGCAAATGTCTCAAGAGCCAATGTCTGTGTGTCTGTCTGTCCGTGTTGGGTTTGTTATGGTTGTCTGTCTGTGTGAGTGTGCGTGCAAGGGAGCCTTGCGTCCTTCAGCCCTGCGTCCTTCAGCCCTGTGTCCTTCAGCCTTGTAAGAGAGAGGCAGGACTGTGTCATGCTGTCTCTGTGACTTTACTTCACTGAGCTCTTATCCTCCCTGGGATATTCTCCTTTTACCATTTTTACATGTTCTCATAGACACACACACAGAAATGCGCACACACATATGCGCGCGCACACACACACACACACTATACCCTTTCCCTTGTACACTCCTGTTAAAGGAGACAACACAGAAAGGAGCTCTACATATCCCGTCACATTCACACATTCCTGTCCTCACCCCTGTGAGAGGAACGGTCCCTACTCCCCAACTCCCCAACCACCTAACACTCCATCTCTGTCCTCACCCCTGTGAGAGGAACGGTCCCAACTCCCCAACCACCTAACACTCCGTCTCTGTCCTCACCCCTGTGAGAAGAACGGTCCCCACTCCCCAACCACCTAACACTCCGTCTCTGTCCTCACCCCTGTGAGAGGAACGGTCCCAACTCCCCAACCACCTAACACTCCGTCTCTGTCCTCACCCCTGTGAGAAGAACGGTCCCCACTCCCCAACCACCTAACACTCCGTCTCTGTCCTCACCCCTGTGAGAGGAACGGTCCCAACTCCCCAACCACCTAACACTCCGTCTCTGTCCTCACCCCTGTGAGAAGAACGGTCCCAACTCCCCAACCACCTAACACTCCGTCTCTGTCCTCACCCCTGTGAGAGGAACGGTCCCAACTCCCCAACCACCTAACACTCCGTCTCTGTCCTCACCCCTGTGAGAGGAACGGTCCCAACTCCCCAACCACCTAACACTCCGTCTCTGTCCTCACCCCTGTGAGAGGAACGGTCCCCACTCCCCAACCACCTAACACTTCTGTCCTTGTCCTCACCCCTGTCAGATGAGCTGTCCCCAACCATCCAAACACCTTACACGCTGTCCCTGTCCTTACACCGAACACTCTACCTATCCTCACCTCTGTCAGAGGGCCTCGGACGTACCCTTCTAACCTCCATCTCCTCCTCTCTCTCTGTTTCTTCCAGGGAGGTGGAGTTTGTCCAGAAGGAGGATGCAGAGAGGAAGAGGCTGGAGGATGCAGAGAAGTCCCACCTGGAAGAGATCCAGGGACTGCAAGTCAGGGTAATATGCTCTCTCAATGGCCTTCCTCTATGGTCATCTAATCTATGCTGCTGAGTACATCCAGGTGTAGAGTGAAATTGATCTTGGGTCAGTTTAGCATCTTCCCCATTAATGGTTAGGGTTAGGATTGGGGGAGGGGAAGCTGATCCTAGATCTGTACCTAGGGAAACTACAATCCAGAGCGTAAATCCACCACCAAAGATCAGAGTCATTTACATGCATATGGCTGTGTGATATGTTTATACCGGTAGCTATAAAAGTGTACATTGTATACCTGTGTAAGTACAAGATAAATCCCTGATTCCCCCTACCAGCCGTAGAACACTGGGACAGCACCTGGGACAGGTCTTTGTATGAATGTGCGCATACCAGCCCACTAAACATAAGCACACTGCTTTGATTAGCACACTGGTTTGATTAGCACAGTGGTCTTCAAACCTCACCTCGCGGACACCCAGACGTTTCACAATTTTGTTGTAGCTCTGAACTAGCTCCCCTGATTGACCTAGTCCACATATTTAGCAGATGTTATTGTGTGAAATGTGTAGTGTAGTGAAATGCTTCTGTTCCTAGCTCCAACAGTGCAGTAATATCTAACAATACACACAAACCTAAAAGTAAAAGAATGGAATTATAATGTGAGAAATAACACAAAAAAACAAAACATACTGCAAAGTTGCTAGAAACAGTGTGGCCATGTCTACCGGCTCCATCTTATCGGGTATGCTAGCTCTGAAGTAGATCAAAGACATGGAACGGCTGGGGGTCCCAGAGGAGAGGTTGGAAAACCGCTGGATTAGCACACTGCCTTGACAGGGCCCTGCTGGTACATTTACATTTTAGCAGATGCTCTTATCCAGTGCGACTTACAGTTAGTGAGTGCATACATTATTTATTTTTATTATTCATACTGTCCCCCCATGGGAATCGAACCCACAACCCTGGCGTTGCAAACGCCATGCTCTACCAACTGAGCTACATCCTGCATGGGTCACTTACACTGAAACTCACTCGAAACAGTTTCTTCACAGATTGCAGCCCTGGAGTCTGAGCTGATGCAACTGATGAAACAAAATGGCATCCAGGTGAACAACAACAACAACAGTGCCCAACAGAGTCCTGGGAAGGCCGGTCCTGCCAGAGGTGAGTCTCAGGGAGATTGGGAGATACAGAAATACGCTGCTTACACTACTACAATTATAGCAATCTTCCTCCACAGGCAGTAATACCCCACACTGTGGTAATATAATACACATTACTGGTCATATTCAGAAAGTATCTGCCTGTCTTGTTCTGGCCTGTTCAACATTGCTGCTGTTAAAATGGATTGGAGAGTTTGTTTCAAGGACGATATAAGCTTTTTGTGCATATCGAACATTTCTGGGGGGAAAAATTCAGCTCATGAAACATTGGACAAACACTTTATATGTTGCGTTTATATTTTTGTTCGGTGTATATCTATATCATTTACCTCTCTACATCTACAGTACCAGTCAAAAGTTTGGACACACCTACTCATTCAAGGGTTTTGGTTTAATTTTTACTATTTTCTACATTGTAGAATAATAGTGAAGACATCAAAACTATGAAATAACACATATGGAATCATGGAGTAACCAAAAAAGTGTTAAACAAATCCAAATGTATTTTATATGTGAGATTCTTCAATGTAGCCACCCTTTGCCTTGATGACAGCTTTGCACACTCTTGGCATTCGCTCAACCAGCTTCACCTGGAATGCTTTTCCAACAGTCTTGAAGGAGTTCCCACATATGCTGAGCACTTGTTGGCTACTTTTCCTTCACTCTGCAGTCCAACTCATCCCAAACCATCTCAATTGGGTTGAGGTCGGGAGATTGTGGAGGCCAGGTCATCTGATGCAGCACTCCATCACTCTCCTTCTTGGTCAAATAGCCCTTACACAGCCTGTTGAAAAATAAATGATAGTCCCACTAAGCACAAACCAGATGGGATGGCATATCACTGCAGAATGCTGTGGTAGCCATTCTGGTTAAGTGTGCCTTGAATTCTAAATAAATCACTGACAGTGTCACCAGCAAAGTACCCCCACACCATCACACCTCCTCCTCCATGCTTCACAGTGGGAACCACACATGCGGAGATCATCCGTTCACCTACTCTGCTTCCCACAAAGAGACGGTGTTTGGAATAAAAATCTCACATTTGGACTCATCAGACCAAAGATCAAATTTCCACCTGTCTAATGTCCATTGCTCGTGTTTCTTGGCCCAAGCAAGTCTCTTCTTCTTATTGGTGTCCTTTAGTAGTGGTTTCTTTGCAGCAATTCGACCATGAAGGCCTGATTCACACATTCTCCTCTGAACAGTTGATGTTGAGATGTGTCTGTTACTTGAACTCTGTGAAGCATTTATTTGGGCTGCAATTTCTGAGGCTGGTAACTCTAATGAACTTATCTTCTGCAGCAGAGATAACTCTGGGTCTTCCTTTCCTGTGGCGGTCCTCATGAGAGCCAGTTTCATCATAGAGCTTGATTAAATTTTCCGTATTGACTGACCTTCCTGTCTTAAAGTAATGATAGACTGTCATTCCTCTTTGTTTATTTGAGCTGTTCTTGCCATAAATGGACTTGGTCTTTTACCAAATAAGGCTATCTTCTGTATACCACCCCTACCTTGTCACAACACAACTGATTGGCTCAAATGCATTAAGAAGGAAATTCCACAAATTAACTTTTAACAAGGCACACCTGTTAATTGAAATGCATTCCAAGTGACTACCTCATGAAGCTGGTTGAGAGAATGCCAAGAGTGTGCAAAGCTGTCCATCAAGGCAAAGGGTGGCTACTTTGAAGAATCTCAAATATAAAATATATTTTGGTTTGTTTAACACTTTTTTGGTTAGTACATGATTCCATATGTGTTATTTCATAGTTTTGATGTCTTCACTATTATTCTACAATGTAGAAAATAGTAAAAATAAAGCAAAACCCTTGAATGAGTAGGTGTGTCCAAACTTTTGACTGGTACTGTATATCTATATAATTTACCCCTTTACAATCCACATCTATGTCATTTACATCTCTACATCTACATCTATATAATTTACCTTTCTCTACATCTATATCGAAATAATTGACCTCTCTCTACATCTACAGTGGCTTGCGAAAGTATTGACCCCCTTGGCATTTTTCCTATTTTGTTGCCTTACAACCTGGAATTAAAATGGATTTTTTGGGTGTTTGTATCATTTGATTTACACAACATGCCTACCACTTTACTTTGAAGATACAAAATATTTTATATTGTGAAACAAACAGGAAATAAGACAAAAAAACAGAGAACTTGAGCGTGCATAACTATTCACCCCCCCAAAGTCAATACTTTGTAAAGCCACCTTTTGCAGCAATTACAGATGCAAGTCTCTTGGGGTATGTCTGTATAAGCTTGGGACATCTAGCCACTGGGATTTTTGCCCATTCTTCAAGGCAAAACTGCTCCAGCTCCTTCAAGTTGGATGGGTTCCGCTGGTGTACAGCAATCTTTAAGTCATGCCACAGATTCTCAATTGGATTGAGGTCTGGGCTTTGACTAGGCCATTCCAAGACATTTAAATATTTCCCCTTAAACAACTCGAGTGTTGCTTTAGCAGTATGCTTAGGGTCATTGTCCTGCTGGAAGGTGAACGTCTCAGTCTCAAATCTCTGGAAGACTGAAACAGGTTTTCCTCAAGAATTTCCCTGTATTTAGCGCCATCCATCATTCCTTCAATTCTGACCAGTTTCCCAGTCCCTGCCGATGAAAAACATGGTGTTCTCGGGGTGATGAGAGGTTTGTTGTGGTGCCATATTCTTTCAATTTTTTAATAATGGATTTAATGGTGCTCCGTGGGATGTTCAAAGTTTCTAATATTTTTTTATAACCCAACCCTTATCTGTACTTCTCCACAACTTTGTCCCTGACCTGTTTGGAGAGCTCCTTGGTCTTCATGGTGCCGCTTGCTTGGTGGTGCCCCTTGCTTAGTGGTGTTGCAGACTCTGGGGCCTTTCAGAACAGGTGTATATATACTGAGATCATGTGACACTTAGATTGCACACAGGTGGACTTTATTTAACTAATTATGTGACTTCTGAAGGTAATTGGTTGCACCAGATCTTATTTAGGGGCTTCATAGCAAAGGGGGTGAATACATATGCACGCACCACTTTTCCGTTATTTATCTTTTAGAATTTTTTGAAACAAGTAATTTTTTTCATTTCACTTCACCAATTTTGACTATTTTGTGTATGTCCATTACATGAAATCCAAATAAAAATCAATTTAAATTACAGGTTGTAATGCAACAAAATAGGAAAAACGCCAAGGAGGATGAATACTTTTGCAAGGCACTGTATATCTATATAATTCATTATATATAGTGCACTACTTAATTATATAAGTAGTGCACTATATAGGGAATAGGGTTCCATTTGGGATGCAAACTGTGTAGATGATGCATTGTTAATAGCATGTACTGTGAGGGAGATTCAGGACACTATTTCCATAAATGTTATTGCCAATGCAACAAGGACAGCTTGTCCCACCATCACAATGTCCCTGCCTTAGCTATAAGTCTCTATCAGGGTATTTCAATAGATGGCAATGGAGGCTGTAGAGAGAAATGACATATCCTTAGGAGGGGTTGATGTGTGAGTGTCACTCAAACCCTGAGATACACCCTACATCTCTCCTATTTGCTCCTTTCCTATTTCCTATGCCCTCAAACTCTGCTGTTATTGCTTTAGTAAGGACATGGAGGGGCAAACAAGGACTGTGTCTGACTCCAAATGTAATTTGGGATGTAGCTTGTGTTACTGCATACTGTCAACACTAGCTCCAAGACATACAGTACCCAAAGGCTTGAGATTTGTCCTTGGATTAAAGCTTGTTTTGCTTGTTGCTCCTTTTTTGTAAATCCCTCTTACTCTTTTTTGTCACTGTGCATTACCTCTGAATGCACTTTGAACTTTGACCTCGTACTCCAATGCCACTTCACTAAACAAACAAACACAAACAAATTCTGTCCGTAACACGTAAACACACATTTTTACATTTTTTTAAACTTTTTTAGTCATTTAGCAGACGCTCTTATCCAGAGCGACTTACAGTTAGTGCATACATTATTCTTTTTGTTCATTTTTTTTTTTTTCTTTTTTTTTCATACTGGCCCCCCGTGGGAATCGAACCCACAACCCTGGTGTTGCAAACGCCATGCTCTATCAACTGAGCTACCTCCCTGCCGGCCATTCCCTCCCCTACCCTGGACGACGCTGGGCCAAATTGTGCGCCGCCCCATTGGTCTCCCGGTTGCGGCCGGCTACAGCAGAGCCTGGATTCGAACCAGGATCTCTAGTGGCACAGCTAGCACTGCGATGCAGTGCCTTAGACCACTGTGGCGCACGTCTGGGTTTTGGGCTATTGCCTATGGGCCCTGAAAAAAAGTAGCGCACTATGTAGGGAATAGGATTCCATTTGGGACGTGAACTTTCACTGTTCTTTTTTTCTTCAGGGCTCCTCTGGCTTTTCTTCCAGGCCCAGTCTATTATAATGGATTATACTGGCCCTTGATCTGCTATCTCCATAACTGGCCTAATAAGGGGACAATGGGCAGTCTCTGAATACTGATCCAGATCTGGAGAGACTGAATGAGGCAGTTCAATAAGAAATATCAGGAAGAGAGGGAGAGAGAGGGGGAGGGAGGGAAAGGGGGAGGGGGAGAGAGAGAGGCAGAACTTGAGGGAGAGCAGGGGCGAGAGGAAGAGTGAGGAATTACCTCTGACATGATGACAACAGGTGCTCCTTCTGTGGCGTTCTGTGTTGTTGTGTGTAGCTAGACATACGGTTCATACAATTTTGTAGATCTACATTTAAATAGGACCTGATGACAAACCGTCTCTCTTTTATCACAGATTAGGTTCATATACATTTTCATGTAATTCTAAAGCAAGTGGATCTTTATTAGCCTGGTCCCAGATATGTTTGTGCTATCATGCCAACTCCTTGTCATGACATGATAGCACAAACCGATCTGGGATCAGGCTAGACCTATATGACTGTTGAACACATGTAACTAAGGATGGTTGTGTTGTGTGTGTTGTTCCAGAGCTGAATGAGGAGGTTCCCCACACTGGTAGCAGACAGAGCCTCTCCAGAGGACGACTACAGGACAGCATCAGCTCTGCAGAGGGAGAGGTTAGTATGGACACACACACACGCATGGTGAATGCACACACACACAATCAAACACACAAAGAGCACCTGTTCTGGTGATTCACACACACTCACACCCTTTTAATATCCACAAAAATGATAATATTTTCTGCTATAATCACCACCAGATGTTGTATCAACATCACTCATTGAAAATGAATTGAACTGTTTTCACATTTATATGTTTTATTTAAAGTTAATTACACTGATAGTGTTTGTTTGGTTAGCCCTGTCCGTCCTCTGACCTAATAAAAAAGCCTTTATGTAATTTGCTGGCTATGAGTGGGTGCCCTGCGGCACACTAATTTAATCCTGAGTGGTGGCAAAGCCTATTCTCCCTCCTTAATGAGATAATTGCTGGTAAAGTCAACTTCGGAAAACACTCTTTCCCAGTTATAAGATCTGTCCCTTACTCAGCAAAAATAATGAACAAGGCTTTGTCCCAAATTCCATCCTATTCCCTTTATAGTGCACTACTAGTGTACTATATAGGGAATAGGGTGCCATTTGTAACGCAGCCCAGGACTATAGGCTTAGAAAGCCAAGGAGACAGACAGTCACCAGACACTATACTGGAGGAAATCATGCAATTAGTGTGTAACCTTTACTACGGGAAGATAACGACCTCAGGATAATGGTACAGAGAGAGAGAGAGAGAGAGGGAGGGAGGAAGGGAGGGAGGGAGGGAGGGAGGGAGGGAGGGGGGGGAGGGAGGGAGGGAGAGGACATGTTTCATTTACAGAGCTAGGTGGCTGTCAGGTGCCTTAGGGTGAACTGTCTCAGTGGCTCTCTTTTTTTGATAGCATTGTTAAAGTAAATATCTCTCGCTCTCTCTCTCTCTCTCTCTCTCTCTCTCTCTCTCTCTCTCTCTCTCTCTATCTATCCCTCCTTCCATGTTCCTCCCTCCCTCCCTGCCTCCCTCCTTCTCACTCTGTCCCCCCTTCTCACCTCTCCCTCTCCCTCTCTCTCTCTACAGGCATCAGAGTGTCCTGGCAGTACTCGTTCGTCCATCCGGAGTGCAGCCTCCAGGGCCCCTGGCAGTGCTGAGGGCTCCCCCAGACACACCCTCTTCCAGCAGGCTGCAGACAACGACGGTCAGTGTAGAACCTCATCATGAAACATTTAATTGTTCATCAAGCGGCCTCATGTTATAGATACAGGAGATAGTCTCCTGCCCTATTGGCCATTCTGGCTTGGACAAATCTTACTTACTTACCCTAAACTATTTTACTTGTCGTTTTTTAAGTAAAGTGTTACCCACATGTTTAAGGCTAGCATCTCAAGAATATGAATGTGGAACCCGAATTATCGCGCAGATCTCCCATTGTCTTCAATAATGATTTACAAGAAAGTCACATGCTTGATTCCAATGTAGGTTATCACTATCTTTTGCTGTATGTTTGCATATATTTGCTGGACCTCTCTGATGATGTGTGCAGGGTCTCAGTCTCCTGTGGTGTCCAGCCCCTCTCTCAGCCTGGAGGAGAAGACCACCAGCAGAGGTCTGGACCCACTTAGACCAAACAAAGGGAAGGACCCCAGAAGCTCACCTGGAAACAGGTGCTAACCACCTCTCTGCCACTGTGTTCCTCTGACTCCAGGGTGAAGTTTCCCCTAAGTACAGATCTAGGATCAGCTTCCCCTCCCCCAATCCTAACATTGCTAAACTGACCCCAGATGAGCGTCTAGAGGTTACTACCCGTTCCTCTGACTGCTGTGCTGCTAGATACTGTATACTTAGACTGGCTCAGATCCATACTGAGGGCTTACTCTAGGATGTTTTCCAGCTGTTGCAGACCGTGTGTGTGTTTGTTTGTCTGTGTCTGCGACTGGTCATCTAAATCCCCACTGTGGGTCAGACTCTGAGACTGTCTGTATGACTGAGTGAGGCTGACTGGTTGGCTGGAAGCAGCTGCTGTGACTGTCTGTATGACTGAGTGAGGCTGACTCTGGTTGGCTGGAAGCAGCTGCTGTGACTGTCTGTATGACTGAGTGAGGCTGACTCTGGTTGGCTGGAAGCAGCTGCTGTGACTGTCTGTATGACTGAGTGAGGCTGACTCTGGTTGGCTGGAAGCAGCTGCTGTGACTGTCTGTATGACTGAGTGAGGCTGACTCTGGTTGGCTGGAAGCAGCTGCTGTGATTGAAGACAGCAACGCAGCTGGGACTCCTACACAACACACAGGGGTCACTGCACACCCATCCCACCAAACCCACCCCTCTATCCCACCAAACCCACCCCTCTATCCCACCAAACCCACCCCTCTATCCCACCAAACCCACCCCTCCATCCCACCAAAACGACCCTTCCCTCCATAAACCCCTTCAACCCATTAACTTACCCCCCACCCCTCTGCCGCACTAACACCATTCTTGATCAGGCAGGGGTCTGTCTGTGGAACTATCCATGAACACATCACTGATGCAGGAGTAGCCTATGCTTGCTGCTTGCTCAATGGCTGTGGATGATAAGAGAGCGCTATACCACAAACAGACATGCACACAGGCACACACACACACACACACACACACACACACACACACACACAGTATTCAGGTTTTGTGTTTAGTAGATTCATTTCTGTGTGACTCAGTCGTGGATCAGAGAGAGGTCAATGAGTCCGCCTCACCTCCAACACTGCCTGGGTCAGTTCACTACGTGTCCAGCCCTGTTATCCTCAGAGAGGAGTAAAAAGTAACAGCTTGATAACTGCCTGAACCTGTCTGGTTTCTCCTTTGACAATTTGTTCTTCTCTCTGGAGAAGCGTTTTACTGGTTTTAATGTTTAGTAAATCTGGCCTTGTGTCTATAGTTGTTTTCTACCAACATAACAGTCTGTCTCTCTCTACTAACCCATGTCTCTTCTCCCCAGTTCTACAGAGCCCTCTGCTGAGAATAGCCCAGAGAAACTCAAGGCCAAGGTATGTGTGTGAAGAGAACCCCAATGTACACAGTAAACAGGAACAGGGCATCTCCATGGTAATACATATTGACAGTGCTCCCTGTAGTGTGCTAATGCATATTATTATATAATACCTGTAGGTTATTGTGTTGCATTATGTGTGTTTTTCTGTCTGGTTCTGATGCCTTTCTGTTTAACAGAAATCTAGTACATGGCCACACTTCTTCTCCTATTCATATTACTTGGTAATGTATTTGTATTTTTTTGCTCCAATCATACCCAATCAAAAATAATACAAACAATTACTGCACGTAGCAGGGTATGAAGCAGTCTGATTAGCATATTCTTAATGCACTTGTTATTGAAGTTAATTTCAGTAATTTGCACAAATTTAGAAGGTGTATTGGATTAGAATAATTAAATTAAATCAAATGGAAATCAGACCAGTAATTCATAATTCCTTCAAGGGTTTGAATCATCATAACTCATTTATTTAGTTATTATAATTTCAAAGGTTGGGTTTTAGCATAACGGCATTTCTCTTTTAATCACATAACCTGGCGCTCACTTTGTGACTGATTATGTTTGATTTGTCCATAGTAATTAATGAATTACATATTCTCTAGCCACTGATGTTATTAATCAAGCTATAGCAATGGGGAAATCCCTTCAAGTGTACAAAACATTATGAACAGCTGCTCTTTCCATGACATATACTGATCAGGTGAATCCAGGTGAAAGCTATGATCACTTATTAAATCCTTTTCAATCAGTGTAGCTGAAGGGGAGGAGACAGGTTAAAGAGGGATTTTTAAGCCTTCAGACAATTGAGACATGGATTGTGTGTGTGCCATTCAGAGGGTGAATGGGCAAGACAAAATATTTAAGTGCCTTTGAACTGGGTATGATAGTAGGTGCCATGCGTACCAGTTTGAGTGTGTCAAGAACTGCAACGCTGCTGGGTTTTTCACACTCAACAGTTTCCTGTGTGTATCAAGAATGGTCCACCTCCCAAAGGACATCCAGCCAACTTGACACAACTGTGGGAAGCATTGGAGTCAACATGGGCCAGCATCCCTGTGGAACACTTTCGGCACCTTGTAGTCCATGCCCCGACGAATTCAGGCTGTTCTGAGGGCAAAAGGGGGTGCAACTCAATATTAGGAAGGTGTTCCTAATGTTTTGTACACTCAGTGTACAATATCCAATGTCTTCCATAGTACCTAGTCTTTCATCCCTGATACATAACCCTAAGGGAGGTAAATGTTGAAGTGCTGTGTCTCTCTCTTCTCACAAACCTCAAGGCTGCACACCAATGAATTAGTAATAGATAGTGTGAATCAAGCTTTTCACCTAAAAAAAGGACCAGAGAGATACTGTAGGTGCAGCTAGTTTCCCAGCTCAGTGGATCCAATCTGGCCACAGGCAAGATAATCAGACAGACTTATATCACAATACTCAGACCAAAAGGAAGGTTATGTTTGTGCTGACATCAAATGACGGCTATAGCTGACACCAGGTTTTTTCAAGCCTCCACATGGCTTGTTGACTAAGGAACACCCACCTGGGGCGGTTAGGTAGGTAGATAGATAGGTAGGTCGGGCCAGCTGTAAGCTTCAGAGATTAAGATGCCCCAGTCTGTCTGCCAGACAGCGTTTATTATTGTTATCACTGGGGATAGAGAGAACTACTGAGGTCTCACAGGTAAACACACACACATAAACACACATGCCCGTGCACATGAGCGTTCACACACAAACATATGCATGCACAGCCAGACAAACATACACACACACACACACACACTCACACACACACTGCAGGGTCAAGATGACTGAGCTCAGATACAGATCCGCAGACAGCAACTCAAACCACAGTAAAATGACACATTCCATTTCATTATGCAGTATAATATTTAAGTTCTATTTAATTGCATCACATACAGTACATGTTTGATCATTGATTAATACAATACGTCTCTGAATCAGCCATAGGTGTGCGAATATTCTCTTTCTGGGTTTATGTTAGAGGCCCTCTAGTATATTCCCTCTTAATTATGAAATCATTGATTGAAGTAATCAATCAGCAGCACATTACTTCAACAATGGCATTTATTAGCTGTAGATTAAAAACATCATACAACAAAAATGGCTTTGTGTTGAGAGGGGAATACAATGTAACAGACCTTGAAATGAACTGAGATAGACTATAGCCAGACATAGTCTGTGTCTGAAATGGCAGCCTATTCCCCACTACTTTTGACCAGGGCCCATAGGGCACTTTATAGGGAATAGGCTGCCATTTTGGATGTAGACAATGTTTTGACTAAGGTCTGATAGACTTCTGCATGGTGTTGTTCTCCATAGGGTCCTGTGGTGAAGGATGATCTGAGTGCCAGCAGTAGCAGCTCAGGGGAGGTCTGTGGTCTGCTGACTGAAGCCAAGATGTCCGGTCGCTCACACACCCTGGTGCTCTCCTCAGACGAGGTGAGAAACAAGGATTTGCTCTCACATAAAAAATCGACCTAGTATCAACAATCACTAGTTATTCAACCTAAAATGTAAAAGAATGTGAGTAAAAAATTAAGAAAAAAGGGACCTATATTTCACCGTATAGTGCTCCTGTCCTGTCATGCCGAATAACCTCTGGTTGCCAAGTGTCCGGAATGTGTAACAATGGTGTTCAAATGGCCTATTCCATGTTTAATTCCTTACAACTTATATTCTATTTAACTATCTTTGATGTTAGCAACTGTAGCTTCGCTTGTCGGCCATTTTGGATCTTGTATGTACCCTGTAGGATTGTAAGTCCCCTGTAGCTCAGTTGGTAGAGCATGGTGCTTGCAACGCCAGGGTTGTGGGTTCGTTTCCCACGGGGGGCCAGTATGAAATGTATGCACTCACTAACTGTAAGTCGCTCTGGATAAGAGCGTCTGCTAAATGACGTAAATGTAAAGGGCACCATTGTGTGCCCTGACCTGCTGCTGCTGTGGTAACAAAGTGTCCTGTCCTGTTGTCCTCTGTGCTGCCATGTTCAGAGTCTGGATATGATAGACGACGAGGTGAGATCTGGCTCTGAGTGGCCACCAAGGAAGCCTGAAAAACCAAACATTATGCATGCTCCCCATACTGTCTACCTAGCCTGCAAAAAGCCTGTGTTTACATCACATGGCTGCTTACCCATTAGTCTAAACCGCTCATCTGTTTTTCATAAACCTCTATTGAAGTGCATGTCTCAAATGGGTCTTCAGCATTCTCTCAGCTTCTATTCTAGACATTTAGAAATGATTCATTTGAAATCACCCATCTCGATGTGTGCTCTCTCGGCACAGCATGTGGGGAAAGATATCATGGGTTTAGAGAGGTTCTATTTAACCTCTTAACTTCTGATTGTGTCTGTGTGTCTCTGTCTCTGTGTGTGTCTAGATCCTAGATGAGGGCCAGTGCCCCAAGCAGCACCAGTGGCAGAATCTCAGTGTGACAGAGTGGACCTCCCAGCAGGTGTCTCGCTGGCTCATGGGACTAAACCTGGAGCAGTACATCCCAGAGTTCACGGTCAAGAATGTGGACGGAGACCAGCTACTGCAGCTGGACAGTACTGAGCTCAAGGTGAAGGACTGAAGCCTGTGTTAATGTGTATATCCAGCTGGGTTGGTCACTTCGGGATTCAACCCTAAGTGCATTATAGAGCACCAAACTATACAGCCGACAATGCACCTTTTAAATGCATGTTCCCCGACGTTCGCGGAGATCACACTCATGGTAAACTCTGCATGTCAGTTCAAGCCTAAAAAGTCCTGGCCTTAGTTACTAGTTAGTTACTAGTATCACCTTGTTTACATATTCTCATTGTTGCCAGGGTGTTTGGTGTAACCCGTCAAGCTAACGTTTTGATATAGTAATTGATTCTGAGTACATTTCAGTCATTGCCTTCTATAGTTGCCCTGAAACTTTGGGCCAATATACAGTACCAGTCAAAAGCTTGGACACACCTACTCATTCCAGGGTTTTTCTTTGTAGAATAATAGTGAAGACATCAAAACTATGAAATAACACATATGGAATCATGTAGTAACCATAAAAGTGTTGATGTGTTTGCCTTGATGAAAGCTTTGCACACTCTTGGCATTCTCTCAACCAGCTTCATGAGGTAGTCACCTGTAATGCACCTTAAAAGTTAATTTGTGGAATTTCTTTCCTTCTTAATGCGTTTGAGCCAATCAGTTGTGTTGTGACAAGGTAGGGGGTGTATACAGAAGATAGCCCTATTTGGTAAAATAGTCCATATTATGGCAAGAACAGCTCAAATAAGCAAAGAGAAATGACAGTCCATCATTACTTTAAGACATGAAGGTCAGTCAATACGGAACATTTCAAGAACTTTGAAAGTTTCCACAAATGCAGTCGCAAAAACCATCAAGCACTATGATGAAACTGGCTCTCATGAGGACCGCCACAGGAAAGGAAGACCCACAGTTACCTCTGCTGCAGAGGATAAGTTCATTGGAGATACCAGCCTCAGAAATTGCAGCCCAAATAAATTCTTCACAGAGTTCAAGTAACAGACACATCTCAACATCAACTGTTCAGAGGAGAATGTGTGAATCAGGCCTTCATGGTCGAATTGCTGCAAAGAAACCACTACTAAAAGAAACCAATAAGAAGAAGAGACTTGCGTGGGCCAAGAAACACGAGCAATGGACATTAGACCGGTGGAAATCTGTCCTTTGGTCTGATGAGTCAAAATTTTTGATTTTTGGTTCCAACCGCCGTGTCTTTGTGAGACGCAGAGTAGGTGAACGGATGATTTCCGCATCTGTGGTTCCCGCCGTGAAGCATGGAGGAGGAGGTGTGATGGGGTGGGGGTGCTTTGCTGGTGACACCGTCTGTGATTTATTTAGAATTCAAGGCACACTTAACCAGCATGGCTACCACAGCATTCTGACGTGACACGCCATCCCATCTGGTTTGCGCTTAGTGGGACTAATTTGTTTTTCAACAGGACAATGACCCAACACACCTCCAGGCTGTGTAAGGGCTATTTGACCAAGAAGGAGAGTGATGGAGTGCTGCATCAGATGACCTGGCCTCCACAATCACCCGACCTCAACCAAATTGAGGTGGTTTGGGATGGATTGGACCACAGAGTGAAGGAAAAGCAGCCAACAAGTGCTCAGCATATGTGGGAACTCCTTCAAGACTGTTGGAAAAGCATTCCAGGTGAAGCTGGTTGAGAGAATGCCAAGAGTGTGCGAAGCTGTCATCAAGGCAAAGGGTGGCTACTTTGAAGAATCTAAAATATAAAAAATATTTTAATTTGTTTAATGTGTTATTTCATAGTTTTGATGTCTTCACTATTATTCTACAATGTAGAAAGTACAAATAAAGAAAAACCCTTGAATGAGTAGGTGTGTCCAAACTTTTGACTTGTACTGTATATATACTGAAATTGTTACAACTCCTGTTATATTTGTTTTGATCATAGCTGCCGAGTTTTATTCCATGGACTTGATTTCCCTTACTGATATGCTCCTGTTCACTCACATCCCCCCATCTCTGACCCCTGTCCTGTGTGTGTGTGTGTGTGTGTGTGTGTGTGTGTGTGTGTGTGTGTGTGTGTGTGTGTGTGTGTGTGTGAGTGTGTGAGTGTGTGTGTGTGTGTGTGAGTGTGTGAGTGTGTGAGTGTGTGTGTGTGTGTGTGTGTGGTGTGTGTGTGTGTGTGTGTGTGTGTGTGTGTGTGTGTGTGTGTGTGTGTGTGTGTGTGTGCGAGCGTGTGGTGTGTGTATGTACAGACCCTTGGCGTTGCCTCCTTCCAGGACCGGGCTCTGATCAAGAAGAAGGTGAAGGACCTCAAGGTCCTGATGGAGAAGGCTCGGAGGAACCGGCAGAAACTGGACAAACAGCGAGAGAAGCTCCGCAAGAAAGAGCTTGAGCAGCAACAGAAACAAGCCCACAAACCCAGCAGCAAGGGCCACTCCGAAACAGCAGAGGGCGCAGCAGAGTAACCCACGCCTTTAAGACCTACCTCTCCTTGTCTTTCTACCGACCACGGGTACAAAGTAACATCTCCAGGGATAGAAGCAGTCAACAGAACCACTGAGCTGATATACCAGAGGTATATGTGATATGTCTATGATTAGAACACCTAACAGGGCTTGAGTTCAGGCTGTGGAGTCCACTACTACTGGAGGCTGTCGAGCTACTGTACCACCGAACAGATAATTCTGAAATGAGCAGACAGTTGGAAAGATGCTGCCCACCCACTCGTCTGCCTCTCACCTCATTGTACATCCTCGTAGTGTTTCCAAACCTCCTGCTCCATTACATTCTATTTATTTTGCTGTAATTTAGATGTATTTATTCACTCTGAGTATCTTTTTAAAGGTCTTCATCTTGAGACATATCACACCTGTCTGTGGTCCTCCTCTTTCTATGATGTGTTATACAGTTGAAGTTGGAAGTTTACATACACTTAGGTTGGAGTCATTAAAACTCGTTTTTCAACCACTGAACAAATTTCTTGTTAACAAACTATAGTTTTGGCAAGTCGGTTAGGACATCTACTTTGTGCATGACACAATACATTTTTCCAACAATTGTTTACAGACAGATTATTTCACTTATAATTCACTGTATCACAATTCCAGTGGGTCAGAAGTTTACATACACTAAGTTGACTGTGCCTTTAAACAGCTTGGAAAATTCCAGAAAATGATGTCATGGCTTTAGAAGCTTCTGATAGGCTAATTGACATCATTTGAGTCAATTGGAGGTGTACCTGTGGATGTATTTCAAGGCCTACCTTCAAACTCAGTGCCTCTTTGCTTGACATCATTGGAAAATCAAAAGAAATCAGCCAAGACCTCAGAAAAACAATTGTAGAACTCCACAAGTTTGGTTCATCCTTGGGAGCAATTTCCAAACGGCTGAAGGTATCACATTCATCTGTACAAACAATAGTACGCAAGTATAAACACCATGGGACCACGCAGCCGTCATACCGCTCAGGAAGGAGACGCGTTCTGTCTCCTAGAGATGAACATACTTTGGTGCGAAAAGTGCAAATCAATCCCAGAACAACAGCAAAGGACCTTGTGAAGATGCTGGAGGAAACAGGTACAAAAGTATCTATATCCACAGTAAAACGAGTCCTATATCGACATAACCTGAAAGGCCGCCCAGCAAGGAAGAAGCCACTGCTCCAAAACCGCCATAAAAAGGCCAGACTACGGATTGCAACTGCACGTGGGGACAAAGATCTTACTTTTTGGAGAAATGTATTCTGGTCTGATGAAACAAAAATAGAACTGTTTGGCCATAATGACCATCGTTATGTTTGGAGGAAAAAGGGGGCTGCTTGCAAGCCGAAGAACACCATCCCAACCGTGAAGCACGGGGGTGGCAGCATCATGCTGTGGGGGTGCTTTGCTGCAGGAGGTACTGGTTCACTTCACAAAATAGATGGCATCATGAGGAAGGAAAATTATGTGGATATATTGAAGCAACATCTCAAGACATCAGTCAGGAAGTTAAATCTTGGTCGCAAATGGGTCTTCCAAATGGACAATGATCCCAAGCATACTTCCAAAGTTGTGGCAAAATAGCTTAAGGACAACAAAGTCAAGGTATTGGAGTGGCAATCACAAAGCCCTGACCTCAAACCTATAGAACATTAGTGGGCAGAACTGAAAAAGCGTGTGCGAGCAAGGAGGCCTGCAAACCTGACTCAGTTACACCAGCTCTTGTCAGGAGGAATGGGCCAAAATTCACCCAACTTATTGTGGGAAGCTTGTGGAAGGCTACCCGAAATGTTTGACCCAAGTTAAACAATTTAAAGGCAATGCTGCCAAATACTAATTGAGTGTATGTAAACTTCTGACCCACTGGGAATGTGATGAAAGAAATAAAAGCTTAAATAAATCATTCTCTCTACTATTATTCTGACATTTCACATTCTTAAAATAAAGTGGTGATCCTAACTGACCTAAGACAGGGACTTTTTACTAGGATTAAATGTCAGGAATTGTGAAAAACTGAGTTTAAATGTATTTGGCTAAGGTGTATGTAAACTTCCGACTTCAACTGTATAAAACACCTTTAGACATAATGACAATGTACCCGTGGAGGCTGCTGAGGGGAGGACGGCTCATAATCATGGCTGGAACGGAGCAGATGGAATGGCATCAAACACCTGGAAACCATGTGTTTGATGTATTTGATACCATTCCACTGATTCCACCCAAGTCATTTCCACGAGCCTGTCCTCCCCAATTAAGGTGCCACCAAACTCCTGTGCAATGTACATATATGATAATATAGAGATAAATATGTCTAACGTGCCATTTTTTATATAGGCAACACGTTTATCCTGTGCAGATAGCTAGATGGATTTATGGAATCTGAATCTCCCCTCATAGCTCTGATGAAGCACATTACATACTGTATAAAAGGCCTGCGTAGTGGATGGTGGTACAATATCCAGATCTCACCACTAGGGGGTCAGGCCTGTGTAGTGGATGGTGGTGCAATACCGATATCTCACCACTAGGGGTCAGGCCTGCTGCTTGACTCCTACCGCTGGAGAATGACAACAACACTGGAACTACTCAAGAGGAACTCAAGTCTATTGAATAGACAAGTTTCAAGACTTAGTGGAATAAGAACCAAGTCTGTGGGAGGAACAAGAAGTATTTGTGCTCTTTACTGGAACTACACTGGAGGTCCCAACACTGGAATTTCAACTACTGTATTAACTAAACTCTTTACTCTGCATACACTAAACCTGTTGGTGTGAAGTGAACATTTCCATGAATTTGTAACATACCAAACCCTGCTCCAAAAACATGATGGTGAGATTTCAAGAGAAGATCCTGAGTTATGCATAATGTTGCTTCTTCAACCTCCACCTGTAACCTGCTTTCAACCTCTTTTTGATATTCTCTAAATAACTAAAGTAATACCCAACTGCTGCCTTTAGAAAACTAGAGTAGATTTTCGTAATACCACCCGCTTTTAACTGAGTGTTAAAATAGACTGAGACGACATTTAGTCATCCATTATTTTATTTTATTTCCCAAATGTCTCTAAACTGGCAAATAATATGACCATGACATCATTATTTTGTGATTTGACCTTTTCAGATGATTCTGTTTGCGTTGTATGCCCTGGGATAATGCAAAGCTTCTTCTGTTTCTTTGGTTAGAATTCTCAGAACAGGGTGCAGTATTTACCCAACTACCCGGGTTTATTGCTTTGTTTATGTGTTTGTTTATTCGGATCCCCATTAGTTTTTGCAGTAGCTATTCTCCCTGGGGTCCACAAAAAAACACAAAACATGACAAGTAACAAAACACTGATACACTGATAGACAAGAACAGTCACACAATTTTTAAATACAACGACACACAAACAATACAACAACATAATAATACAAACAACAAAACAAAACTGAAACGTGAAGAAAGACACAGAATCAAAAGAGAGGGTTGTGTTTGTGTATAGGTTCATTATTGACTGGGGCCCTTGGTTTCGCCGCAGTACATACACAATTATGGAGATTACAAACATTGCACTAGATACATGCACGCAATACAGTCCAACCATTTTGGATTTTATATTTCAATGTTTCTTAATAGATACTTTTTTTTAAATGTAATGACATTGACATAGTTGTTGTAATGACGCTGTATGCAATATGTCTTTTGAATATATTTTAGTCATTATGTTCCATTATCTTACCCAGGAATCATCATTTGGTCATGTTTACACACAATGTATGGCCATTGAAATGTCTCCATGATGGTGATGCTGCTGTTTGCAACGGAGTAGGGTGAAGTTGCCCCTTGACACTGATCTTGTGTCAGTTTTCCATTTCCCCAACTAATGGTTAAGGTAAGAATTGGGGGAGGAGAAGCTGATCCTAGATCTGTACCTAGGGGAAACTTCACCCCGGAGCCTGATACAACAGAAACATGTAAGGCAGCTTTGGATACAGTAGTTTCCATCCCTATTAAAGGCACTAGTTAAAGGGATAGTTCACTCAAAAACAAAACACATCAGCATCACAGTTTCTGCTCTGTACTGAAAGTGCTCTATCTTGAAAACGTGACTGCTGACATGCACAATTCTGTGGGATTGTATTAACAGTAGACTAATGAACAAAATACTTAAATATAGTTTTTGAGTGAACTGTCCCTTTAAAGGCAAGTATACCCGGTGTATTGGTGGATGGGATAAGAGAGAGCAATATGATACTGGCCTCCCGAGTGGCGCAGCGGTCTAAGGCACTGCATCACTATAGACCCGGGTTCGATCCCAGGCTGTGTCCCAGCTGGCTACGGCCGGGAGATCCATGAGGCGGTGCACAATTGGCCCAGCGTCATCCCATCTAGTTCTAGCAACTCCTGTGGCGGTCAGCGCATCAGCGCATTACAGGATCCAACCCGGGTCTGTACGGTGTTTCCTCCGACACATAAGCTTCCGGGTTAAGCGAGCAGTGCTGCATGGCAGGGTCGTGTTTCGGAGGACGCATTGCTCTCTCTCCCGTGTCTGTACGGGAGTTGCAGCGATGGATATCACGAAATTGGGGAGAAGAAGACATATGATACCGCAATGCCACTTAGATCACACCGATATTAATGTTTATATCTTATTATTATATGATATTATTTATTATTTTTATGTTAAAAACAAAGCATTTTGGCTATTGTTTATAATAACTTATGCAACATTAGAGTATTAACGCATAATTATAATATCGAGAAATTGTATGATTACCCTTTTGCCAAAAAATTCTAAAACAAATGTTCATAAAATGTTGTAAAAATGAAAATGATCATCAAATCGAGTGATTACCAAGGCTTGAAGTTTGTATGTTAACCCAATTTAGGGCTCTATTCAATCTGTAGCACTGAAGAACCGCTTTATAATGCGGTTGAGACAGCATTCATGGTAAACGCTGCATATTTCGGATCAATCGGAAATTACCTTAATATCACGCGAATCTTCCGCAATACGGATTGAATCCCGCCCTTAAATTGCATAACCAAAAATAAATAAAAAATCCCCTTCCTCTTTCATTGTGATTGTAGTTGCAGCATCCTTCCTCTCAAGTTACTCCACTACTACTCTTATAACAGAGCGTCTGGGCTTATGCTACGATGAAACCCTTTTGTAACACTACTCCAACCTATTCCCAACGCTCACTCACCCAGTCTACCATTGGACAGCACTCTGACTTTTATATGTACAGTAAAAGCTGAAAGCAATATGCTATATTAACCCTGAAGAAGCCTTGTTTTCTACTGTGTCAGTACGCTGCCTGTGTACAGTTTGTGTGATGGGGCTGGGGCTGGGGCTGGGGTTGGGTCGATCTGTCTATGCGAATGTTCTGAGAGCGAGAGATAATCGTGACTGAGAAGCTAGCTGCGCATCTTTTTCTCCTCTCTCCTCTCGTTTCTGTCATTTTCTTACCCTCCCTCTTATTTTGCATTCTGAAAAGTTGAAAGGGCAGCTTTGCATTCTGAAAAGTTGAAAGGGCAGCTTTGCATTCTGAAAAGTTGAAAGGGCAGCTTTGCATTCTGAAAAGTTGAAAGGGCAGCTTTGCATTCTGAAAAGTTGAAAGGGAAGCTATCTGTCAACCTGAATAAAAATGGAGTCACTGTCATTGTTCCGTCGTTTGCCTTCTCTTCTTCTCTACTGTGTTGCGTCTCATGCAGTCGTCCCGTGTCATTTATTTTTCTTCAAACCAGTGTTAGAACAGCACTGAGAGCTTTTCCATTTGTTTTTCTCATGTCTTTCTCTAGCTCTGGTCCAGGGCGTTAGTGCACGTTCATCCACTACACTCGGAGGCAGAGGCAACTCGTTGTTGTTGTCGTCGCCATGGACCAGAGCTAGTCCTTTTCCACCTGTATAAAGAACTCCAGGTGCCAGGATGATGCCTATACTGACAGAGCTCCAGTAGCATTATCAATATGAATTGAACTCCTTATTTTTGTCGTGAAAAACTCAAGAGAACACACTAGGTAGACAAAGTAGTGTAAGGAGTGCGTCCCAAATGGCACCCTATTCCCTATATCAGTACCCCGCCCCCCCCCCAACAGTACATTTTAATTTTAGCCTTTGACAATGACACCTGATTCAACTTGTCAACTAATCATCAAGCCCTCATTGAGTTGAATCAGGTGAGTTTGTCCGGGGCTACACCGCACAACGTAGCCTTTATTACTAATGTTGTTTGTAAATAGACCCCTCCAGATGAGTTGAACCTGTCAGAGTGAGCGTTTATTCCAAACCCGCCTTGTGTTTCGGTTTTTCTTTCTTAGTATCCTTGTGGTATGACTTATGAGTGAGTATTTGTTTGCAATACTGCATCCCCCATTTCCAGTTGCATTTAAGTGGTTTAAATGTTGGTACTCTATATAATGTATCAAAACTGCACAGCCAGAACAGACACCCAACACTACATTACATGCTCAAATGTCAGGAAATGTTCTTGGGTCATAGAAGGATATGGAACTGATTGTGTGCGGCCCTTATGGCACCCTATACCTATATAGTGCATTACTTTGACCAGGGACCATCGGGCTATGTAGGGAATAGGGTGACATTTGGGACCAAGTCATTGATTCACAGCCTGTAGGCCAGTGGAGGCTTCTGAGGGGAGGACGGCTCATAATAATGGGGGGAACAGAGCGAATGGAATGGCATCAAACACATTCAACCATGTGTTTGGTTTTGTTGATACCATTCCACTGATTCCGCTCCAGCCATTACCACGAGCCCATCCTCCCCAATCAAGGTGCCACCAACCTCCTGTGCTGTAGGCTTAGAATATATACACTCACATCACACCCTGCAGACAGTGAATGATACATTCCAGGTCAATTTCACAGAAGCTTTGCAGAATACATAGAATATACTTGTTCACTGTTAACCTTGCTTGGCTCCCCTTGTGTCCACATGCAACTAAATATAAATGGCTGTTTGTATACTATTATTATCACCCCCCCCCCTCCCCCAATGCTATTCTGTCAGAATGTGCACAGTTGAGGATCAACACTGGCCAACCCACGTCTGCCTGTTTCAATCACAACTGAGTCCCAGGCAATATGCGTCCCAAATGGCACCATATTTCACCTTTATAGTGTACTACTTTTGACCATAGACCTATGGGTACTCTCTAGACATCCGTGTTGCCACCCACAATGTTCTAATGCTCTGGCTGTTGCCTAGGGTCTGGTTTCCCAGACTACCCAATGGGTGCCACCCCACTCCCACTTTCCTCTCTATTTATAACCTGCCTAAAAACATGACTCCAGAGGGATTGAATTTCACACCCCGCTCTCTTTCCATCCAGCCCTCTCTTCCCGCTTTCACTTCCTCCCTTCCTCTCTCTTTCTAGAATCCTGGTGTGGTGTGTTGTGTTGTGTTGTGGGCGACACTGTCACTTCAAGAGGAGACCCCCAGAGAGGGAGGGGATGTCTATGTGTGTCCGTGTAAGCCTAATACTATCCACCATTTATGACATCATCAGAAGGTGCCTCCATGCCTTCGTGAGAGCAGTAGTAACACCAGAAGAAGAGAAGGGACAGTGGATCATGGAGCAGCTGCTGACCTCCAGACAACAAACTGCTAGGCAGATCAAGGCCCGTTTCCTGGAGGCCCTACAGACCAACAACGTAGCAGAGGTCCTGGAGATACTGTACACCACCAACCTGGACATCGACACCGTGCTGGAGGTGGAGGATAAACGCATGGTCCTGGCCTCATACAAGCAAGGTTGGGTTGGGGTTGTGCTAGTCAGTTTGGATTCCAGACTAGGGTTGTGCATGGTAGGAGTATGCAGGAACTAAGGTAAAGCCATGGTTGTGATTTCATTCACGCATGGTAAAGGTGAACACTGCTAACACTGTTGAAAAACGTTTCTTAAACGGAAGCAAAAAGGGGATTAACATACCTGAATTTGTCCAATAGAAACTCTCGTTTGCAACTGTTGGACTAAAAATTACACCCTATATCAGCTAGATGCAGGCAAGAGTGTGCAAGGTGGTATTGAATGTCACTGTCTGTCACCTCAAATTTGTCTCTCGACCTGTGGGCACCTATGTTGTAAACTTTCATTCATAGGCTAAGTTGTAACAACCTCATGATGGGTATAGGGAAAATGTGAGTATCATGTAGTAGCCTAATCCTATCGCTGTTACATTGAACTGGGTGAATGGAATATGAATGAGAGTCATCCAATATGCTGTAATAGAAATAAGGCCATGCTCATGAAAATAAAATAATCCTCCCTCATCTTAAACGGCACTGACCGCCGCTGCAGCCAATAGCAAGTTGCAGTAGTCCAGACAGGAGATGTCAAGCACCTGAATTAGGACCTGCGCCGCTTCTTGTGTGAGGAAAGGTCGTATTCTACAGATGTTGTAGAGCATGAACCTGCAGGCGCAAGTCACTGCTTTGATATTTGCAGAGAACGACAGGGTGTTGTCCAGGGTCACGTCAAGGTTCTTTGCACTCTGGGATGGGGACACCGTGGAGTTGTCAACCATTATGGAGAGGTCTTGGAGCGACAGGCCTTCGCTGGGAAGAAGAGCAGCTCTTTCTTGTCGAGGTTGAGCTTGAGGTGGTGGGCCGACATTCACGGAGATATCTGCCAGGCACACAGAAATGTGTGTTGCCACCTGGGTGCCAGAAGGTGGAAGGAGAAAAGTAGTTAAGTGTCATCCGCATAGCAATGATAGGAGAGACCATGTGAGGATATGACAGAGCCAAGTGACTTGGTGTATAGAGAGAAGAGGAGAGGGCCTAGAACCGAGCCCTGGGGAACACCAGTAGTGAGAGTACGTGGTGCAGACACAGATCCTCTCCACGTCACCTGGTATGAGCGGCCTGCCAGGTAGGATGGAATCGAAGAGTGTGCAGAGCCTGAGACACCCAGCCTTGAGAGGGTGGAGAGGAGGATCTGATGGTTCACAGTGTCGAAGGCAGCGGATAGATCTAGGAGGATGAGAACAGAGGAGAGAGAGTCAGCTTTGGTAGTGTGGCGAGCCACCGTAACACAGAGGGGTCAAGTGTTGGTTTCTTGAGGAGGGGAGCGACTCGGGCCATTTTGAAGTCAGAAGGGATGCAGCCAGTGGTCAGGGATGAGTTGATGAGGGAAGTGAGGAATGGGAGAAGGTCTCCAGAGATGGTCTGGAGAAGGGAGGAGGGGATGGGGTCGAGCGGGCAGGTTGTCGGGCGACCAAAGCTCACTAGTCTCAGGATGTCATTGGGAGAGAGAGGGGAGAAAGAGGCTGAATAATGATTGTAAAAAATGTTAATATTTGTTTTGTTTTTTTCACTACTCTAGGTTTCTGGTTGCCGGACTACAAGCTAGAGTGTTCTTGGGCGATGGCCCTCCACGTTTGTGTGATGTACAACTACCTGGAGACAGCCCTGGTGCTGCTGCAGAAGGGGGCGGCGGTTAACAGGAAGCCCAATGGGAAGACCCCGCTTCATGTGGCCTGTACGGTCGCCCACGGCGACTGTGTGGCCCTGTTATTGGGCCACGGAGCGAGGGTCAACAGCCTGTCTCTGAGCGGACACACACCACTACACTATTGTATAACTAAAGAGTCTGTGGAATGTGCCAAGCAACTCATTCTTAATGGTGAGAATGGATGGCGATTAAATGAAAAATACAGGTGTTCGGTGCAGGTCAAATCGTGTTATTTTGAGGTTGCCATGTCTTTGGATATGCAAAATCATGTGATTAAGTAGGCATACTGTACTTATGCATGTTCTATCTCCCTGCCTCCCTCCCTCCCTACCTCCAGGGGGCGATGTGAACAAACCCAGTCAGAGCAAAGACGAGGACACACCTTTACACACGGCAGCCCGCCTGGGCATCCCTGAGCTGGTGGCTCTCTACATCTCCCACGGGGCCCAGGTGGACGCTGTCAACTCTCTCCAGGAGACGCCCCTGATCACTGCAGCCTTCTGGGCTCTGGACATCCGTGAACAGACCTACAGCGAGGACCACCACCTGGTCTGTCGCATGCTGCTGGACCACGGCGCAGGTGAGGTAAAACAGAATAGTGTTCTGGGTCACTCCTAACAGATGAGGTCTGGGGCCATACTGTATGTATCAAGTGTCTCAAAGTAGGAGTGCTGATCTAGGATCAAGTCCCCCCAGTCCATGTTGTCTTATTGATTGTGATCTTAAAACCCGCTAGAGTCGATGTCCGCGACCCCGCAGAAATCTAATTAGAATTTTTAAAAAACCTGTCAGTTTAAGCTAGAGATATCTGTTTTCTGCATTGGATGCATCTCAATCCACAGCATCCGCCGATGTCGCACTTCCACATCTGCTGTGAAAGGTGACAGAGCTAGAGCGGTGTTTGTCAGACCGTGAGAAAACCCGTCTTCTTTCAGCCGATCTGCCAACACGATGGTGTTCTCCGTTTTGCTCTATGACCCCCACAAGCTTCTTGGGACTGGTCTGAAGTCAGTACAGCCGATCTGCCAACTTCTGTCTGTAGCGTCTGAACAGTTAGGGCTACACACTAATGTTTTATTTTTATTTTTATACTTAACATTTTTACATTTTAGTCATTTAGCAGACTCTCTTATCCAGAGCGACTTACAGTTAGTGAGAGCATTTTTTTTTTTTTCATACTGGCCCCCCGTGGGAAACGAACCCACAACCCTGGCGTTGCAAACGCCATGCTCTACCAACTGATCTACACGGAAAGGTGAGACTCTCACGAACACGTACATGTCGGTTGCCCACAGGCCTCACAAGACTTGTCTCAAGGTCCCCCGGTACCAGTTGAAAAAATGAATGGAAGTATATATGGAGACTGTTTAGTGCCAAAAATAAGGGATTAAATACATGTAAAAAATATATATATATTGTTTCCTGATCTTTCTTATATCTCTCAGATATAGGACAGACACTTCAGAACAAACTTCCTTTAGATTTTTTGGAGGACTATCTGTTGTTCCATGTAGTGAATCTGTTATTCAATGCGTTTGTACGGGCTAATAGCAGTAAGGCCCAAAATTTTTTTTCATCAAATATTTTTTTATACTTCAAGTGGTCAGATGCATTATCATCGTCAGGATGCAAAATTACTTTGTCTGTGTCTCATCACACCCCTACAGAAGGCCTCACATCATATCTTCTAGGCATTTGTCTAGGTAATTGTGTATGCTAAATACTGTTAGAAAAAAATATGAAAAGGATGCAAACTACATTACTGTTTACCCTTTGTTGGTTCCAGACCCTAACCTTTATGAAGATGACTATAAGACAGCCCTGCACAAGGCCTCCTGGAACTGTGACCACGTGCTGATGCAGATGCTGCTGGAGGCGGGGGCGGACACTACGACCATGGACATCAACGGCTGTGAACCCATCCAGTACGTCCTGAAGGTCACCTCCGTCAGGCCCATGGCCATCCCCGAGTTCTGTTACCAGCTGCTTCTCAACTTCGGAGCTCCACGGGTCTACCCGCCGCAGTTCCACAAGGTAGGGGAAACACTTTGGAGGTCAGCAGAGATACCCGCCGCAGTTCCACAAGGTAGGGGAAACACTTTGGAGGTCAGCAGAGATACCCGCCGCAGTTCCACAAGGTAGGGGAAACACATGGAGGTCAGCAGAGATACCCGCCGCAGTTCCACAAGGTAGGGGAAACACATGGAGGTCAGCGGAGATACCCGCCGCAGTTCCACAAGGTAGGGGAAACACTTTGGAGGTCAGCAGAGATACCCGCCGCAGTTCCACAAGGTAGGGGAAACACATGGAGGTCAGTGGAGATACCCGCTGGAGTTCCACAAGGTAGGGGAAACACATGGAGGTCAGCGGAGATACCCGCCGCAGTTCCACAAGGTAGGGGAAACACTTTGGAGGTCAGCAGAGATACCCGCCGCAGTTCCACAAGGTAGGGGAAACACATGGAGGTCAGTGGAGATACCCGCTGGAGTTCCACAAGGTAGGGGAAACACTTTGGAGGTCAGCAGAGATACCCGCCGCAGTTCCACAAGGTAGTGGGAACACTTTGGAGGTCAGTGGAGATACCCGCCGCAGTTCCACAAGGTAGGGGAAACACTTTGGAGGTCAGCAGAGATACCCGCTGGAGTTCCACAAGGTAGGGGGAACACTTTGGAGGTCAGTGGAGATACCCGCCGGAGTTCCACATGGTAGGGGAAACACTTTGGAGGTCAGCGGAGATACCTGCAGGAGTTCAGTGGTGTAAAGTACTTACATAAAAATACTTTAAAGTACTTAAGTCGTTTTTTGGGACAACTTTTACTTTTACTTCACTACATTCCTGAAGAAAATAATGTACTTTTTACACCATACATTTTCCCTGATACCCAAAAGTACTCATTACATTTTGAATGCTTAGCAGGACAGGAAAAAGGTCAAATTCACACACTTATCAAGAGAACCTCCCTGGTCATCTCTACTGCCTCTGATTTGGCGGACTCACTAAACACAAATGCTTTGTTTATAAATGATGTCTGAGTGTTGGATACTGCAAGCTTCACAAAAAAAAAAGTAATTGTTAAAACATTTCTAGCCTGTCTATGGGTAACATGTTATGCTCGACCCGCTCAGTTTTTCACCACAAAACACCAGAAAATTGCCAAAAAGAGTAGAACCAGCTCACCTGCTTTTATACTATGATTTGACTATTAGATGTTCAATGTTTATTTTGGAAAAAAATATTCAAAAATGAATAGTTTCACCATATTAAAACAAGAGTTCCTTTTACATAACAGGGTTGACCTTCAAATGAGGGACAGACATTATATGTGATTAGATGAATCACTAATCACATGGAATAAATAATAACTAGGGCTTTACAATGATGGTGAAAACTTGTTGTACAATGTTTGGGTTAAGTGGGTTAAAATCTTCCAAGAAGTCACAGAGGGTGCACAGAGGGACATGTAACACATTTGGCATTTTAGCAAGTCTTTATTCATATTAAAAATCGGATTTATTGAATTTTCCATGTGATCTATGTTAAAGGCCACGTCATTTCATATAACAGGCTTTTAAAATTAAATATTGGTGCACAATTCTACTTAAAATATCAAAGGAATGCAAAAGGTACTCATTTGGAGGAACGACCCATTTGTAGGTGTTGCAGGCCTGCCATGAGTATCCCAATGCAGTGGAAGTCATGATGAACTCATATGAGCGCATCAAACCCACCAACAAGTGGAGATCATCCATTCCTGAAGCCTCCTACAAGGTAACCCACAAACATACAGTCTCAAATCTCATTGTTGGTCTATGCAGTATTATAAAGTTAAACAAATAAAAATTTTGCTGACTTAGTTTCACACTAATCAGGACCAGTCTGAGATACATTTAAGATGATATCATCACCCCAAAGGCATTATGCACTGACATTAATTTACCTGTATCCTCCATATTATAGTGAATTTGAACCCGGGTCCAGCGACTGTCAACCCAACACCTTAGCCGTTACGCCTAGAGATCCAAACCTTTTGACAAGGTCACTATGTGTTGGGTTAAGGTCGCTATGTGTTGGGTTAAGGTCGCTATGTGTTGGGTTAAGTTCTCTATGTGTTGGGTTAAGGTCGCTGCAATATGTTTCTGTTTTGTTTCTCCAGCAACATGAGGAATTCTATAAGTCCATGTTTGATGTGTGCTCCAACACTCCCCGTGGTCTGATGCACCTGGCCCGGTGTGCTGTCAGGAGGGCTATGGAGAACCGCTGCCACACGGGGGTAGGTACCCTCCCCCTACCTCCCCCAATCCAGAGATACCTGCTACTGGAACCTGAGGGGACCTTCTATTGATGGACTTGCTGACTAGGTGTTTGACTGAATTATCTATCTTCAGAAGACAGCTGCCCTGAGCGATACAAGAGAGACAGTATCTGATGCTATTGGTAGTGGTATGGATGGAGGGAAGTTTAGGTTAGTTAGTGCTTATGTGCACAGGTATACAGAACACTGCCACTTCCACACCCTAGGTGGCAGCAGAAACTGGGTCAGGTGCTAAACTCGATAAGCAATGGATTGCTCACAGGTGGGGGCAATAAGTGACTGCAGGTCATTGCAAAGAGTGAGTTTGGATTAGACTATTGGCCTGGCGGCCAGCCAGCGTTTGTGTAAAAACGTTTGTTGTTTTCCTTTTTGTTTATTATTATTGTGTCACCACACTACCATTTGGGCTGGGCTAGAATAGAGTTGAGACAGAGCTCGACCTGAACCCGGTAAGTTTGCTGTCTCCTCGGGCACATACATTCAACACCTGGCCCACGTACTCTCTCTTCTCATGTTAATGCACACATTTAGATATATTCTAGATCATTTAGCCAGGCCTAGGACCCCTAGACATATCGAGTGTAGCGATATCTCAAGTCTAGCTAGGTGGTGTTGTAACACTATCACTTACTTCCTTGGTGTTTCAATGAGTGGATCTAACTTTAAAAAAACAACTGCACTAAGAGATACTGTAGCTGCTGTTGCTGAAAGTGGAACCAAAAGTGATCATAAACTGATGATGATACCGATACAGCCATAGGAATGACAAATGGAATGGTGTTCTTCAGTCTATTGTATTAATTTCAGTAGCATATCACTGCCGAGCAGTCAAGGCGAACACTGGGTCAAACACACTGATTGGATATCCTGATCTTACTGTAGACTCTTGAGTCTATTGTGATAATGACATATGAGGACATTCGTCTTCTTTGGCCCGACATGGTGGATGAATGGATGTCTCAGTCTGACAGCTGGATGAATGGATGTCTCAGGTTGACAGCTGGATTAATGATGTCTCAATCGGACAGCTGGATTAATGGATGTCTCAGTTTGACAGCAGGATTAATAAATGTCTCTGATAGCTGGTTTAATGATGTCTCCGTCTGACAGCTGGATTAATGGATGTCTCAGTTTGACAGCTGGATTAATGGATGTCAAAATCTGACAGCTGGATTAATGGATGTCTGTCTGACAGCTGGATTAATGGATGTCTCAATCTGACAGCTGGATTAATGGATGTCTCAGTCTGACAGCTGGATTAATGGATGTCTCAGTCTGACAGCTTGATTAATGATGTCTCAATCTGACAGCTGGATTAATGGATGTCTCAGTTTGACAGCTTGATTAATGATGTCTCAATCTGACAGCTGGATTAATGGATGTCTCAGTTTGACAGCTGGATTAATGGATGTCTCAGACTGACAGCTGGATTAATGGATGTCTCAATCTGACAGTGGATTAATGGATGTCTCAGTCTGACAGCTGGATTAATGGATGTCTCAGTCTGAGAGCTGTATTAATGATGTCTCAGTCTGACAGCATCTCAGTCTGACATCTGAATTAATGGATGTCTGTTTGACAGCTGGAGTAATGGATGTCTCAATCTGACAGCTGGATTAATGGATGTCTGTTTGACAGCTGGATTAATGGATGTCTCAATCTGACAGCTGGATTAATGGATGTCTCAGTCTGAGAGCTGTATTAATGATGTCTCAGTCTGACAGCAGGATTAATGGATGTCTCAGTTTGACAGCTGGAGTAATGGATGTCTCAATCTGACAGCTGGATTAATGGATGTCTCAGTCTGACAGCTGGATTAATGGATGTCTCAGTCTGACAGCTGTATTAATGATGTCTCAGTCTGACAGCTGGATTAATGGATGTCTCAATCTGTCAGATGGATTAATGATGTTTCATTTTGACAGCTGGATTAATGGATGTCTCAATCTGTCAGATGGATTAATGATGTTTCATTTTGACAGCTGGATTAATGGATGTCTCAATCTGACAGCTGGATTAATGGATGTCTCAGTCTGACAGCTGGATGAATGGACGTCTCTGACAGCTGGATTAATGATGTCTCAGTCTGACAGCTGGATTAATGGATGTCTCAGTCTGTCAGATGGATTAATGATGTTTCATTTTGACAGCTGGATTAATGGATGTCTCAATCTGTCAGATGGATTAATGATGTTTCATTTTGACAGCTGGATTAATGGATGTCTCAATCTGTCAGATGGATTAATGATGTTTCATTTTGACAGCTGGATAAATGGATGTCTCAATCTGACAGCTGGATTAATGGATGTCTCAGTCTGTCAAATGGATTAATGATGTTTCATTTTGACAGCTGGATTAATGGATGTCTCAATCTGACAGCTGGATTAATGGATGTCTCAGTCTGACAGCTGGATTAATGGATGTCTCAATCTGTCAGATGGATTAATGATGTTTCATTTTGACAGCTGGATTAATGGATGTCTCAATCTGACAGCGGGATTAATGGATGTCTCAGTCTACAGCTGGATTGAATGATGTCTCAGTCCTACAGCTGGATGAATGGACGTCTCAGTCTGAAAAGCTGGATGAATGGATTGTCTCTGACAGCTGGATTAATGATGTCTCATTTGACTGCTGATTAATGGATGTCTGTTTGACAGCTGGATTAATGATGTCTCAGTCTGACAGTCTGGATAATGGATGTCAGTCTGACAGGTGTATTAACGATGTCTCAGTCTGACAGCTGGATTAATGATGTCTCCGTCTGACAGCTGGATTAATGGATGTCTCAGTTTGACAGCTGGATTAATGATGTCTCAGTCTAACAGCTGGATGAATGGATGTCTCAGTCTGACAGCTGGATGAATGGATGTCTCTGACAGCTGGATTAAGGATGTCTGTCTGACAGCTGGATTAACGGATGTCTCAGTTTGACAGCTGGATTTCAAAAAGGATGTCTGTCTGACAGCTGGATTAATGGATGTCTCAATCTGACAGCTGGATTAATGGATGTCTCAATCTGACAGCTGGATTAATGGATGTCTCAGTCTGACAGCTGGATTAATGATGTCTCAGTTTGACAGCATCTCAGTTAGATGAATGGATGTCTCAGTTTGACAGCTGGATTAATGGATGTATCAATCTGACAGCTGGATTAATGATGTCTCAGTCTAACAGCTGGATTAATGGATGTCTCAGTCTGACAGCTGGATGAATGGATGTCTCAGTCTGACAGCTGGATGAATGGATGTCTCAGTCTGACAGCTGGATGAATGGATGTCTCTGACAGCTGGATTAATGATGTCTCAATTTGACAGCTGGATTAATGGATGTCTCAGTCTGACAGCTGGATTAATGATGTCTCAGTCTGACAGCATCTGTTAGATGAATGGATGTCTCAGTTTGACAGCTGGATTAATGGATGTATCAATCTGACAGCTGGATTAATGATGTCTCAGTCTAACAGCTGGATTAATGGATGTCTCAGTCTGACAGCTGGATGAATGGATGTCTCAGTCTGACAGCTGGATGAATGGATGTCTCAGTCTGACAGCTGGATGAATGGATGTCTCAGTTTTACAGCAGGATTAATAAATGTCTCTGACAGCTGGATTAATGGATGTCTCAGTCTGACAGCTGGATTAATGGATGTCTCCGTCTGACAGCTGGATTAATGGATGTCTCAGTTTGCCAGCTGGATTAATGGATGTCTCAGTCTGACAGCTGGATGAATGGATGTCTCAGTCTGACAGCTGGATGAATGGATGTCTCAGTCTGACAGCTGGATGAATGGATGTCTCAGTCTGACAGCTGGATGAATGGATGTCTCAGTCTGACAGCTGGATGAATGGATGTCTCAGTCTGACAGCTGAAGCCTCTTTCAGACATTAATACTGGATGTCCTGGTCTATGATGTCACCCGTTTGTGTGACACCAAGGATTCACTGCAGCGCTGACTGACTTCAGACTGTCTGACTCTTTCTCTCTCTTTCCTTCCCTGTCTTTCTCCCCCCCCCCCCCCCCCCCCCCCCCCCCTTTCTCTCCCTCCCTCCCCCCTTTCTCTCCCTCCCTCCCTCTCTCTTTGGGTAACCCCATGACTCACCACTGCAGAGTGGATTTCACTCACACACTCCTTTCAAAAGGACAAATACTTGGCAGTTCACTCAAGACATTTCTCAGTGTGTTTCCATTCACTTGATAGTCCTGACAGTGAAGTGTTGCACAGACATCACAGGGACTCGCTATCTTTAGTTCTAAGACAAATGTTTTTGGAACACTCTGATAATGACTGCGTTATCTAAGATTGTGTTATTTTGAATCCTTTTTGTATCTCATTTATGCTGCTGCAATCTCTGTGTTTACATCTGCCCAAAGACAAACAGTAGACCAGCTGGGGGGAATGTATGAGTTCTTGAAATACTCAGTCACTGTAAGAGAGTTAGCATTGCACAGATGTATAGTAGCCTACAGCATGCACTTGGAGCCTTACAAGTTCAATAAAGCATCTATTCAACGGCAACACAGCACACAAGAATGATGTATGGTCTCTGAAAACGTTCCCCCTTTGTGTTGATCCTCTCCAGAGTACTTAAAGAGAGTGAACAACTTAATCTTATCCCTTTTTATGACTAAGATCCTTCTATCACCTTTAAGGCTTAGATGGCTCTGTGGTATTATATTGTATTAAATGTGACCTTTACCTTCAAGCTCGCTACCCAAATGTCTTTATAATGGTGGGTCTATTTCAATCAGCATTAGGTCTAATTTGCTATGGTGGGAAGAGAGCTAATAGCAAAAAGCATTGAGGGAGCACTTCAGAGACGTGAACTGAATAGGGCAAGACGTCTAAGCTATTAATCCTTGTGTTAGAGAGGAGATACCGAAGTGCGTCGCTGAGAGGGAGATGAACTGGCAGCCGTACACTCAGAGGCTGAGCTACAGGGTTCTTTACTTTACGTAATGAGGAGAGAACACAATGGGAATGAATGGAGCAGCCAGGATCTCTCCATCTGTATAGTCCCATAAAC